TTGGAGCGACGCGATCTAAATGATATACAAATGCTTTAAAAAAAAAAAAACTTTTTCGCCTCAGGTGCTGAATGGGAGAGCTTTTTTCCAAGACTTTTTTTCTATTCTAGAATAACAAAATTCTTTCGAACTATCCTGCCATGTGTCCTTCACTTGCTTTACGAAAGACTTTTTAGTATCTTAACAAGAATTGCCCTTTAAAACAACAAGGTCTAATTTTATAAGTAAATGTTTTTTGCATATATGTACAATTTTTTTTTACTATGCGCGAGGATGTATTCTAGGTGCAATTCTAAGCAAATTTGCCGAAGAAACTATGGGTCTAAAATCAATTTGGGTTTTGCCAAATTGTGAAAATAGGTTTCGAAGAAAATGTGAAAATTTTCACCATTGCGCTCTCTGATGGATATTTTAGGAAAAAGATAAGCGCAGGAATGTTTTCCTCATACCAAAAAACTTTTAATTTAAGCACATCTTTACAGCAAAATGCTAAGAAACCTATTTTCGGAATTTGGCAAACTTCAAATTTATTTTAGAGCCATGATTTCTACGGTAAATTTGCACGTAGAATTTTTCTGTGCTATACGCTCATAGTCGAAAAATCTGCCAAACAAATTGACCCGCCCAAATATACATATTATATTTTTTCACAATATTTTTTTTTTTTTTTCTCCAAGCTACTATGAAAAGACATTCATGCAGAAATATGCCATAATCCATTGCTATTAATAATATATATGAATATATACAATTTTGTCCCTGCCATTATTTTTCGATACATTAATTTTTGTTTTTTTCCTTAAAAATTGGACTTCACCATCAAGCTACTAAGTATCAAGTATTTAGTAAGCTGTAAAATATTTTACGTGCATTAAAGTAAACTTACGCGGTGGTAGTTTTGCGATTTTTATTTAACAATCCAGTGATCGAGCTTAAAGAAGTCACCGATAGATGAGACAAAAGATCTACTGCAAAGCCTTAGCGCATGCAGCTCGGTACGTTTAAAAGAGTTCCATTGACCTGCATCAAATTTTTCATATCGGAAAAATGCCGACTTATTCCCTTTGCAAACTAATAGATTTGGAATACAAATCTTTCCAAAAATTTCGAGAAAATCAAGAAACAGTCTTCTGAGATAAGTATTCTAGAAAGTATGTACGTAAATTTCACTATCCTACGTATACTAGGTGAAATTTTGTTTAGAATATATGATAACATAATTTACAACAATGAACATTTACAACTATTTTTACCGGAAAAATTAAAATCTAATAACATTGATCATATCATAATAGAAAAAAATTGTAAATAGAGATTTTCTACTGATTTAAAGTAAAGATCTTCCAAGTAAAGGCCTTCATATTGAAAAAAAATATTCTTTTGCTGATTTCCCTAGATACTACATAGATTATTTAAAAATAAGCCTCCCCCATTCTCTTACACAATATTTTATTATAAATATTTGTTTAGACATGACCAAGTGACAGTGATTGACTTTCATATTCTTTGCTCTTGTTTATTTACAGTTTGGAATTGCATCGCATTTCAAGTGGCCGCTGTGCGCAGAATTTTAAAAACAGAAAACTTTGTTGTTTATTTTGTAGACGTTATACGTGAGAAAAGCAGATGTTTTAAAAATTGTGAGTATATTTAAATGTAAATAAGCATTTTGTATGTACATCCATACATAAGTATGATTACTGTCAGAGTTGTTCACACAATACATATTTTGGATTAACCCTCTCTGTACAAAAAATCAGCTGCTGAAGCTAAAAATCTGAAAATTTGTTTACCGGCTGATTTTGGATCATTGATTTCAAAAATGCAATCAAACATTTTATAAAGCTCTTAGTTGTACAGTTATTCAGCGTCTATTATATTCGACAGTGTTACTATAGATTTGTAAAGAGGGGAGTGATATCAATAATTTTTCTTTTCTTGTTTTGCGAAATATATTTAAAAACTGAGAATGTTAGGTAACCTTTTTTGGGATTTCTATTCCATCGAAAAATAATTATTTGTTCCTATATATCACACTATTCAATTTAGACTTTTGTGACACTTTTCACATTTATGAAAACACACGGTCAACTGAATCTCGAAAATACAGTAAAAGAAATGCGATAAA